TCTTTTGATAAAACGGTATAGTCATGTTATGCAAGAACTGTTCCAGGTGCCCCCCCCCTCCCCCAAACCTCCCGGGTCATTCTGAAGGCCCACTTAGAGCTCTTATGATAATCTTGTCTGCTCTGCGTGTTCTGTTCCGTATGTACAAACTTTCTCAAATACAAAACTCATTTGGTTTTCCTATTTCTTCTGCGATTCTGGTGTATTCGTCATCGTCCTACAGGACCCTTTTTTGCATTCTTTTTTTTTATTTCCTTTTCATAAGTGCTTGAAAATAAGTTTTGCAAAATGCTAGTCAGTGCAGACCCCATTAACCCTATAGAGCACAATCATGTGTATATACTTTTGTTTTTCATCATAAAACAGGATGTATTGACTGGAGTATTTCTAGACAATACATGAGTGCTTATGGCTGACATGTTTAAAGTTTGCAGTTCATCCAGGGCAGTTAGCTTGATTGATGCATCGCCCTTGGAATCATGAACTAAATGCAGATATTGTTTTCGTGTGTTTGCAACATTTAAAGAAGGCAAAAAAGTAATATTGTCCCTGTAATTAGCCTGCAGCTCCTCCCCTGCAGACATAAGTCCCCTGTCATGTGTCTTGCTTTTGCCTATTTTGCATAGCGTGCAGTATCCAAGCACTAACTTAATGCATTACAATTTTTTTTTTTTTTGGTGTTGCTTTGCCCCAGGCTACTTATCCAGCCGTGAATAACACGAACTGGATTGCAAACCTGTTTTTACTTGAAAATACATTTTTATAATCTTCCTATTACTCACAAAGAAACGTGCTTGGAATTTCATGTCCACTTCAAAACAAATTTTTCACTTCCGAATCAACTCTTTTTTTGGGGGGCAGGCTCCTTCTTTTCCTACCACTGCAACAGGCAAGTCAATTCAAAAGGGTCAAATATTCGCCATATTCGCTGTATGGTCACAGGGGAGATGCTGAGAAGAGTAAGTATGGTGTAAGTACAGTCATCAATCCCCAAGGCCACTTGTTCTAGGAAAACCCTATTACTTTATAGAACATTATTTACTGAAGTTGGTGCTATTTATCAGTTTTCTCGCCTGAAGGGCGGATGTTTTTTTGCGCCACATTTGTCATTGCATAACATTGGACGCACATTGGCCACCGAGTAGCTTGTGTTTCTCTGTTGCTACTCGGCAGTGTAAAATGTCATATGAGGCTATCCAGAATGGGGTAGTAATTAAGCATTGTATAATATATTTTTTAATTGTTTTAAATTATCTTTATACTCCGAAATTATCTTTATACTCCCACGATCATGGCTATGAATGAAGATGGCAGTATGTAACTGGCAAACCGGTTTTCTAATTGAATCCTATGGAAGTTATCCTTTAAACAAATGGCACTGGCACAGTTTTTCTGAATTTGCACTGAGTTGAAGCAATCGCTAGGGTGGACATCTAAGTTCTGATTTTTAAATATCTAGAGATTAAACTGAAAACCTCAAAAACTTAATTATAAATCCATCTACAGCTATAACTTAGTACATAAGGACTCACCTGTAAATTGTATCAAAAAATCAGAGGGAGTAAATGGGTTAATTCAAAGAGTTTCTGAGGACAAACCTTCCTGTCATAAAAATATGTATACACCTAAACATTAGGGTCATGGGATCTGTTCTATATATTACTGTGTACATTGACGTTCAATCCCTGCACCAATACCCCCAGCGTGGACCTAGTATTCAATAACTGTATATAATGTGTAATAAAAATATAAAAAAGGAAAAAAAACAACAAAATCTCTGACATAATTATATTCAGTCTGGTAAGTCACCCCACCCCCTTTTTTTTTTAATTATAAATTAATTTTTAAACAGGCTACTTTATTTAAAGTTGAGATTAAAAAAAGGATGTTTGCATTTTTTTTCTTTTGTAAGCTATAATTAAATTCTTGGAGAAATCTTTACAGATATGATTGCTTTTTGTTGTTCTTTCGCGAGTTTGTGTTATCTCTTGTGCATTGTA